CAAATAAAATTGAATTGAATATTGTAGTTGTATAGACATCATTTTCTGATTATGTGGTGTCGATTTTCTGTCATATCAGCATGGTCATCAAGTGCTTAGATAAAACCATGCAATAGGACTAACAGGACATTAGCTGACACTGAAGACTAACTATCTGGGCTGATACCAGTTCCTGTAATAATGATATGATGTGTTTTTTGGACACTGGATGATTCAATTTGTTCAAATCAGATTGTTTTGTCATTACATAGATTGTTGTTGTTGGTAGCATCTATGCCCTATGACAGATTGGAGAATAACATAAAACCAAAACACAACGGCATCAACACAGACTCATTAGAAACAACTTACACTTGGCCTTCTCCTCATCGCGTCCTCGGGTCAGAAGTACCAGACCCACGATCAGATTGTTGAAGTGCAGCCCTTTGGACGTGCCTCCAAACGAGGTGTAGATCACCTTAAACATATAAAACGCACAGGAAGTGTGTGAAAAACAGTGGAAAACTTTGTATCATCTCATGTTCACACTGTAACACGATCAACACTTTAGCGAAGTCCCTTCATTCAGTATGGAGCGGACAACAGGGAAACTCGGCCAATGTGTGAATGAGCGACAAGCCTGTCGTCTCAGAATAGATTTTACCAAAGTCATCAGCTGTCACCAGTGAGTCACAGCATTACAGCATTTTCTCATATCCATGCCACTGTAATTGTGATTAACAGACAATAAAATGGGCTCATTAATCATTTACACCTGTAAAATCCAATAATGCAGTCATGCAATTAAGACGACCTTTGTGCAAAGGTTGAAATAATGCGAAGCCTACTGTGAGGCAATGTGCTGACTATGAGAGGCTTTGTGTGATGAGGACATGCCCGATTTCCTTAACATCATTTACACTTCAGCAGCAGAGCTGGGCTCGCTGGCAGATGAGTTATATCACGGGGTATCCCATTACAACATGTGTACTGCGTTTGTGGTTACAAATGTGCATTCAAAAATTATGTTTTGGTTCGAGCAGAATCTCTCCCCAACCCACACACGAAGAAACATTTGCAACCTACAGTGCCTGAAATCAGTGATGGGGGATTTTGCTTCAAGAAAGACAGGAAGAAGAGACGGTGAGAAAGCGCAGGAGACAGCGGGCGAACAAAAAAACCAAAGTGAAACGTAACTGAAACATATCTTCATTTGGTATTTGTTTCACTGTGGTCATTTACTAAAATTAAAAACAGCAGCAGATCAAACACTTAGGAATACTCAGTGTTTTTTTATGATTTGTTTTGGTGCATTTAAGTTTTAATTCAGTACCCTTTGATGAATAACCATACAGAAAATATTAGAGACTAGAGATGGCGCAATACCACTTTTTCATGTCCGATACAGATTCCTCAACGTTCAGTGTCTGCCGATACCAAGCCGATACTGTCTTTTACCTCTCATAAACAACTACGCTGTTAACACTTTTTAATCGATGCACTTTGCTTACCCTAGCCGAATAAAAAACGTCATTCATGATCCAATCAGATCGGCACACCCCTACCTTAGACCACTACGAGTCCCTAGAGGCTGCATTGCCTTTTAAATCATGTCGAGCAGCACAAGCTCTCCAAGCGATTTCTTTCTTGTTGTTGTATTGATGCATTAGTATTTTCTTTAACGATTTACTTTATTGATCAGAGAGGCTTTCAGTAATTGCAGACATTTCAGTGCAGGCAGTAATGAGTTGTGTCCCTTCCAATGTTGAGACCAAACCTACACCCTTTTGCAATGACCATGTTAAAATCTATGATTTTGTTTTAAGAGGACACTGAGCCAATAGAGGGTTATATTTTGGGGTCGTGTTCGCCTATAGCTGCCTGCTGCTTGCTGGTCCCACCTCAGGTACCACTCTGTTGGCTAGATATGGATTATCTGGCTTTTAACAACTAACATCATGGTGGAAAGAAATTAACCTAGATCAAAGCTTCACAATGTCCCTGGAGAAAATTACAGTTGCTGGGGTGTCATAGTGATCTAGTGGTTAAAACACATCATATCCCTGGTTCAGTTGCCAGCTTCGCTCCATATAATTTCCCCTCTCCATCTCCCCTCATTTATACAATAATGACTTTTTGGTCAAGATGAGACATTGAGAAGCCTTTGTGAAAATCAAATAATGTAGAAACAATTCAGTTCTTTCAGGTAAAAATATAGGATGAGACTAACGTGTCTATTTCTGATACTGGGCTTCAATCAGAGATTTCTTCCAGAGCCAGTGTGTGTTGCACAAGCTAAATCATGCAACACAAAAATATCAAGACAAAAGTATATTCATCATCAGTAAAACATAATTTTCAAAAATCTAACAATTCTTAAGAATTCCATGCCAGGGGGCGCTGTTGTCTAAAGCAAAGCTGCGCTCAGCCCATTACAGAGCAGTGTGTGCTAATGCATGAAATTGTCTTTTATGTTATGTGAGCCGTGGAGAGGTGACTGTGCAGTCAGTGAGCTAATGAAGTGTGTCCATGTCAGTGGGTCACACACAGCAGAGGAGCTTCCCCTTCGGTTTAAAAAAGGGAAGTCGGAGTGTGTCATACTATGTAAAGTTCCAAATCCACCACCAAGCTTCCCCTATCTGCTGCATTACAATCACCCTGACCTTATACTATATCTGATATCCATACTATATTATACTGTGCCACATTAGGTGTTACGCTGTCTATACTGTAAAAGAAAAAATTAGCATCACTTAAAATTACTAGAAAAAGCTGCTTAATCAAGAATCTTTTAACTTACAAAATTAGTTCAAAGATTTCCAATGTAAGACAAACACACATTAACATTATCTTATTATATATACTGTATACATTATTATATATATATTTAGCTGGTGTATATTTTTTTGCTATTAACCAAACCACTTTCACTTATCTTTTGTTAATTTTAAAGTATTTTTTACATTGTCCGAATTTCCCCTCTGAGGATCAATAAAGGATTATTTTATTGTCTTTTCAGTATTCAATTAATGAAATTAGGGCTGTGCAATAAATCAATAGCAATATGTATTGCCAATAGACACTGCATCAATAAGAATAAGAAAATTGTCCAATAGAATATCGATAGATTCCCTTAAATGCAGTAAGTGCAAACTGGAATGAAAGCAAATAATGAATACGCCCTGGCTCATGAACAGCATATTCCTTGACAACAGATTGTGCAGTGAGTGAATAAACACAGCTGCTGCCACCCTTTGGTGTACACAACATATCATCAGTCACAACCTACATCTGTTACATCTCAAAAACGATCCACAGGCGGTCCACGATGGAGAGGTACTCAGCAATAATACTGTATCAACAACCATTTAAATTACTACCTGTGTGCCTTGATCCATTAAGAGGTTAAAGAGTTTAAACACATTTTATTTTCCACCTGGTCTTCATTTAAAATAGGTAATTAACAATGATCAATAATTATCGACATTGACTAAGATGAAACTTTTTAATATAATACATTTTTCAGCAATATCAGCCAGCCCTAACTGAAGCTACTGTCCCAACGGTTAAACAATACTGTTCTTAAACCTTCTTCCTCTTAATACATGCTAATACAGTAATAGGTAGGAATCAAAGTATCAACAAACTCAAATTATGAATACATATATGGATTCCCCATTGATCTATTGAATAAAATATATATGAAATATTGCATAAAAATAGAGGGCCGACAATTTCTAAAAGTGAGTTAACTAAGAGTTTCGTTCATTTTGATCTATCAGAATCAGAATCAGAATCAGAAATACTTTAATAATCCCCGTGGGGAAATTACTTAAACAGTGCGTGATGAGTGTAGTACAGAGACATCTTGCCTGACAAACACTGGACTTCAGTCTTGTAGAACCACAGACATCACGGTACAGTATGATCAGTTTTTGCTAGAAGTAAACATGACAACTTCATTCACTGTAATATGATATTTAAAAAATGCACTATTGAGTGGTACAAAATTTGCATGAATGCCCCATGCGAGTCTCCCAAAGACTAAATTGGTAGACTATGCAAATCAGGTAGGAGGCAGTAAGAAGACTGAGATTAGGGGAACTCCACTGAACTGAAACAGAAAGGTCCCATTACTCATCAGAGAAAGGGATTTTCTTTGTTGAGCATGAGAAAATTATGCTATATGATATCAACAGAGGATGATGAAACAATACATTTATAACTTAAAGGGTGCTTCCATGTTTACAGCTTCTCCCCAGCTTTATGGAGTTGGAACCCATTTTAACTAAACATAAAAATAGTTCATTTGTAAACTATAAACTATATCTATGCTATACATTCAGCTGTCTTTTTTTATGTTCCTTGTTGCTTGATTTTTTCAAACCACATCCTGCACACTGTATAAGACGACGTGTGTGAGGAATATATTTTCCTACACAAGTAGACTGCCCCTCATGTAGTTTACAGCGCCATACTTTTTGTCAGTCTGTCTGACAGTGTGTTTACCTCCCTGGTGAGATGGCAGTGTGACATCTATCACAATGTCAGAGCTCCAAAGACACGGAAAAGTGTTGTTTTGACTGACAATTTTATATTTATTAAGTGAATCAGGCCACTATCTCTGTCACACTATTTCATGGCAGGAACAATGTTTAACATGCATGATAACTTTAGCATACTATATATGTGTATATATAGTGACTGGCATCCACACTGAAATTCTGAAAACCCAGAGGTCAGGTACTGCCACCAGTCTGTCCCCACAACCAAGGCTTTGAAGACATTTACGGTCATCACCGTAACTAAAGAGTCAAACTGAAAAGTGATTTAATTATGAAGCCATTTTAAAATTTTAATTGACTCTTCCCAAGCCCCGCCCCTTTTTGCTCTGTGCTCCAACAGATGAGCAAGCCTCGATTAGAACCTTTGGCAACTTTCTCCTTTGCTGTACTTACATTTGCTATGTGCTAGGCTCTTTATTGAAACCAATTTTTAAAGATGATTACAAGATATAATTAACGATTTATGTAAATTAGCTACCTAGTTTACTAGCGTTTTGCTAAGATTAGCTTTCAGATAGTAACTAGGTAATAATTTGTTAGTTAATTAGCTAGCATTTTGCTGACATTAATCAGCTCACTTAAGATGTGACAATACAAATACATGTCGCTTTTATCTTTTAACACTCTCCTTAAAATCTGGTTGTCTTTTCAACATAGATTAGCCTAGCACATAGGACATTTTGCTGTTGAACCTAGAGTACATTCTGTATTATTAGTAAGTGATGTGATGGAATTGTATTTATGTAAGCATACATCCTAGGATGATGAAGGGAGCTAAACTGAAGCAAAATGTTTTAGTTTTTCAGGTAACAGGGCTTCCAATAATAGAAATTACAGGACCAAAACAGATATGGATGAAAATATGAGGTGGCACTGAGCTACATTAAGTAAAAGAACATCCTACGAAGATAAAAAAAGCCTGCATGACCCAGTCTGACAAATCTGTAAATCCCAACCGTGTAGAATCATGTTAAACACAACTAATGACATAACAACCAAATTTGAGCAGTTTGAAAAAAACAGTTTCTATTTTCATCCATTGCATGAAAACATGTGCTCTCTGTTGAGAATCACCGAATCTGTGTACCATCATCATCATCGTGAACACAAACAATCAAAAGAAGAATGTGTTTTTTTGCACAAAGTGTTGCTGAGGTTTCAGCACACTGACTGACTGATTAGGCTCTGGCTGTCTTTGAACTGTCAGAATGTGCAGCAGCCATGTTTCTGTTTAAAAGGACCAGCAACCTTAGATCTGGACTGCTGTCACCGCAGTAACTGCTGCCATGGTGACAAAGGGGAAGAAGGATAGATGCTGAGAGAAAGAAGAGAAGACACGTGCTGTAGTGTTCGATGAATGGTAAATGGTAAATGGACTACATTTAGAGTGCTATTCTACCTTAACGGTCAAAGCTCTTTCACTCACACTCGATGCACTCTAAAGACAAGGTATGTGTTGTTGATGCATCCTGATGAAATGAGCGCTGTAAGAAGCATCATGGTGTACAGTGAACTCATTTTTGCTGCTCTGTGTTTTGATGTGTTATCAACAAGCGCAGCAGTATGAATGCAGGGTTTCCCATAGCGTATTACAGCAGAGACGCACTGCCTTGCCTGAAATCCAGCCGCCTCCACAAAAGTCAGAAGATATTATTACACCTTTGTGAAATACAGCATTAACTTGGGGGGAAAAAAGAGTAGAGGTGCTACATCACACAGCAAAGCCCACATTATTAGCGAGTTGTCATCTGCTAACTAGGGATGTCACAATCTGAGCCCTTTAAAACTGCGTGTCCGACGATACCGAGTCTGATACGTAGGGCTATACCCGACTGAGAATTTTGTCAGTCTAATCGGATTTGGCTCTTCAATATGAATATTTGACTTGGGGGGTTTATTCAGTTAAGCTCCACACTAAACTTCTATATCAGCAGTTCCTGCAGTGGAAATGCAGCTATGGGTCTAATGTTCTAGCCTACCTTTAATACCTTTCTTCATGCTGCCCTCTGTTAACTATCATTCTTCTCAGCTTCCATCACAGTTAGTTTCGTGGTCTCATTTTGACTTGGGCTGTAAAGTTTACAGCCACCATGCTGCCCTTTGTTTGTGTACAATGAAGTACCTAAAAGTGAGTCAACTCGGGGTCTTCTTAACCAGTGATTTGGATCATTGAGTTTTTGGGGGAAGCCCCACTGATATGACGACATGCAGTACAGGTCGGAGTCAAACCCATGGCTGCTGCAGCAAGGACTCAGCCTTGGTACATGGAACGCAAGTTCTACTAGTTAAGCTATAGGGCACCCCTGTAGTCCGACTATTGATAAAAGCACAAAAACAGCGGGAGGGTTGGGTGATTAATGTAATTGGTATATGCCCAAACACTGTGAAACACCGCTAACACTGACTACTGCGGCAAGCCTAGGGGCACAGCAGAATATTTCAGGGTTTTGTTGAGCAATTTCATGGAAAACTGACACTCCTGAATCATCATACTATAGAGTAATACTATAGGATTCACTTTTAAAATCCCAAATCACACAGCTCAAACAATCCTCCTGAATATTTCTGAATCTGCCAACTTGAATAGCGAGAGGAAGAATGTCAGCTCTAAACTGTGGAGCTTAAGACTGACAAACTGGGAGAAGTGAAGGCACACAGCTCCCTCAGTCACAGTCAGATAGCTCTCACGTCCCTCTCACACCCCTATCTGGAGACCAGAGATGTGCATTATGGGAATGTAGGTATTACATATTGTCATATTGTTTTACCCAATATGCTCTGCACCAAGTTGAAGTCAGACACTTAAATGTATTAAAAAAAACATTCAACTGATATTTATATAATAGCAGAACAATAACAGAACTTTATCTGTGATACAAGTGCTAATTTTGATGCATATATTTTGTGGAGCAGTTTACAAGGCTTTAGATTCAGTCCAAGGCATAGTGGGCTATTCCTACTGCCATTCTCCATAACAGATGGCCTATTGGTTTACACTAAAGATTGATCCCTTGCTGTCTAATGCCCCATCATGCTTTTCAAACAGGAAATACAAAACACTACGGAAGAAAGCCTTTATGCCTTTCCATGAGACCACTAGTGCAGCAGCTCTCAACCTGGTGTCTGTGGTGTCTTGGGGGTCCTCAAAAAAATTGGGAATATTTTAATTGTACTCCAATATTTAACTGACAAGAAGTTAGCCCAATGTATACGAATGACTATTTTTTTTATAGGTTGCACTCTTCACTGTTAATCTACCAATCTACAGTATAGACAGTTATGCCGTAACTAAATCTTATGAGACGGGGATCACTGAGACTACAGCTTATCAAATACAGGTCCACAGCCTGGTGGGTATCAGTTTAGAAGTACTTGACACCAAAAAGGTTGAGAAC